TGTTCCTTTTTCTCCACATCCTCTCCAGCACTTGTCGTTTGTTGATTTGTTGATGATAGCCAGTCTGACAGGTGTGAGATGGTACCTCATTGTTGTTTTGATTTGCATCTCTCGGATGATTAGTGACTTTGAGCATGTTTTCATATGTCTCTTGGAAAAGGAATTTTTAAATGATTCTTTTTCAAAAGAGGATGGAAGGGAGGGAGAGAAAGAGAAACATCAATGTGAGAGAGAAACATCAACCAGTTGCCTCCTGCATGTGCCCCAACCGGAGATCCAATCTGCACCAGTGTATGTGCTCTGACAGGGAATTGAACCCGCCACCTCTTGGTGTATAAGACAGTGCTCAACCAACTGAGCCACTGTGGCCAGGGCTACCTCAGATTTTTTTAAATTTACAATAGAGGAAGGATAATACCAAATTTACTCTTGCAGGAATTAATGAGCATGGGTGTGTACCCAATAAAAGATAGCCATTATTAGAAGTCATTATTCTCATGTGATTATTATGAATTCTCCTGTGGAGATCACACTCACCACAACAAGTTCCCTTTCTAGTAAATTTGAGGCAGTGAGAAATAAGTAAAAGAATTACCCATCACAGAACAGGAAGGGAGAAGTACCAATCCAACTTTCAAGTTTCTAGTAACATATGTTGGAAGAAAGACAGATGAAGTTTCTAGGGAGGCTGGCAGTGTTACCACTATTAAAGTAATTATGTCTAAGACAGGAAAGCCAACAGAACCACAAGCTCCTGCTACATGAATGCCTGATGAGTGGTTTGGTTGTAGGTTAGGGAACAGTATACACCACCAATTTCTGTATATAAATATATGTTTTAGACTTCCATAGACATTACTAGCAACTGAGAAAAATGGTTAGTATACATTTCTAAAGGTTTTATGTTATACTACTTGTATTATCTAACCACAAAAATAAGTATCAGGTACAATTAAAGAAGATTTTAACTTTATTATATGGAAACTGCTTCCAATAAACATTGAATGCTCATTGTTATTCATGTGATTTTGACATAAGCTAATTCCTGACATATTTCAATACCCTACTGATACTGCTAATTCTCTGGCTACTTCTCTTTTCTATTATATTTCTAGATTGACATTTGTTTTACATTACAGCTTTGAGTGTATCCTAAAACACTTTGGCCCTTAAAATCAACTGTCACTAATCAACTATCACATAGAAGTGATAGTGTAACATATGACCATATTTTTACCCAGATCTAATCATCTGACCTACTACTAGACACAGATGCTCATTGCTATGAACGTTTTATCTGAAATTCATGTTCTTATCGTTGACACCAGTTGTGGTGCCATTTTACAGCAAAAAAAAAAAAAAAAACACCCAAAAAACATTTAACCTCCAGTAGGTAGGGTGTTTTACACTCATTGATTCAGGAGAAAATCATGTTGTTAAATGGAACTCTCTCTGCGCATATCATCCTAGAATAATATGTGCCCTAAATCCTTGCCAAGACTGTTTTTTATTTCTTTACTGTTTCATGCAATGTTCTAAATGGGCCAGTGCACAACACTGAATATTCTTTAAAATTAAATGAGACTACCGTAAAATATTGTTCTTATATTTATAACTTAGAGAAGGTACACAATGTAATAATATCCCCGACAATTGATTATTCAACCTCTGTTTGAATCCTTCCAGTGACAAAAAGTCAAGTGCCTCCCACTGTGGTTCTTTCTGTCTTTCTGTAGCTCTGATGATTAGATAAGTCATTTAAAAAATGTTTAAACTGTTTGACAATCACTTCTCTATTTTGTTTTCCATAGCCACAAAAAATACGCCCAATTCTTTCTGTACATTGTAGCATTCGTGCTACCTATGAATGAAGCTCTAAGGGACACCTAAGCTTCTTTTTCTTTTGGCTAAACATTGCATTTCCTTCCATCATACCCCAAATGCCACGATTCTGAGACGCTCACATATACTGATCGTTGCTCAACTGCGGCAACTGGAACTAGTAGGCACAGTGTTCCAGCCACCCTGAAGCCATCTGTGTAAATGAGACAGTCTGTGTTCTGTTGCCAGTTAGAATATTTATCAAGCAAGAACAGGGTGTTTGGTACAATGCAGGACTTCCTGGTGCTGTGCTCCTCATTCTCTTTATAATGTTTCCAATGTAAGTGAGCTATTTCTAGGGCAGAACTGTGGATAATAGCAAAAACGAGTTACACAACCCATGTCTATCAATATATTTGCAGAGGCTGGTTAATTAAAAAAAAAAATTCCTGTCTAAACTCAGTTAGTCTTCTCCCATGTTGGGAAATATACCATATTTGTTTCAACATGCCACACACCTGAATTAAAGCCCTATATTATATTTAATAAAAAATAATTGTCTAGTTAAATATTTTCATTCTGCTTCATTAGTGTTATCTGATAGGAGAGCTTACCCCCCCTCACTTAGTACTTAACAGAGAAAAATTGGGAAAAGATGGAAGGAATCTAAAATATTATTCTGATAAATTTCTGGCACATTTTCTGTATTACTAGACATTAAAGCTAGTCTATGATCAGATATCCATTTAAATGACCATTTCAGCCTGAACACTGAAATCTTGGGCTAATTTAAAGAGTAATAAAATCATCTAGTCAAGATCTTTAAGCTAGGAGGAATAAAAATTTAGCATTTCTTCAACATTAGAGAGAAATCAATTATACATGCATCTAATTTTCTTTGGTAGGCAGAGTATGATGAATGATGAGGAAAAAAAACTGAAGTAAGCTGTGTTGTGTATACTCATTTGTCAACAAGTGTTGCCTGACATTACTATATTGTTTGGACAAAAACAATTTATATATTTTAACTAAAATCTATGTAGTTCTAGTGAAATGGATCAAGAAAGGAAATAAATGACTTCGAGTCATGGTAGTATCATTAGTTAGTACAAAATTCTGACTCAGATGTTCTCTATTTTATGTCTGTCTCTGTCCTAAAATGTAAGACTTGGGCACATTTATCTCCATGAAAATGTTTCAAGTGTCTGGCCCTTGTACCCATGGTCATGTTCTTATCCCTTTTTTTTATACTTGTAAAACTAATGGTACGTGACCCTGGCTTGCTCAGGAAATAATGAAGAAGGAATAACATGTTCCTTTCCTTTCACCTTCCTTAGATTTGATATGTTACTAAATCATAAATAAATGTAGTTGTAATATGGGTGCTGTCACTTTAGATACTGAGTTGAAAAATAAAAAGTTAAATATAAATGTAGTGTCTAAACGAAACTTTTGTCTGAGAAGTTTTCTTGTATTTTTATTCTCTAAATTTTTTTAAAATATATTTTATTGATTTATTACAGAGAGGAAGGGAGAGGGATAGAAAGTTAGAAACATCGATGAGAGAGGAACATCGATCAGCTGCCTCCTGCACGCCTCCCACTGGGGATGTGCCTTCAACCAAGGTACATGCCCTTGACTGGAATCGAACCTGGGACCCCTCAGTCCGCAGGCCGACGCTCTATCCACTGAGCCAAACCGGTCAGGGCTAATTTTTTGTATAATGGAAGTTTTTCCATTATAAATGGGAAATTAAATTATTTTAATCACCTAAAAACACAACTCTGTAAATAGTATCCAAATACCAATCTAAATAAATATTCTTTTTTTTCAGATCAGTATTTAAGGACAACCAGGGAAATGTGGACAGAGACTCAAGATTTTCACCATTATATAGACAAGAAAGTAGCAAGATTTCAACCGAGGACCTACTTAAACTAGTGTCAGATTATAGAAGGTAGGACTTGGGCTATACTCTTGAAATTAACATAAATCAACATCATTGCCACCATTGATTTGTAATTTACGCATAAACAATACTGCCATTGCTAATTTCAAGCTACCCATGGGGCTTCACCAAATACAGAATTGGGAGGAAATGTGCACACCATTATATAACATTTCCACCATACAATACACGTAAATAACATCAAGATTCTGGATCGTCTATCTTGTAGTAAAATAATTAGTAAATGATGAATTTTGAATTTACTTATAACTTTGGACTTTAATACAATTTGTTTAATGGTAAGTTTACATAATTTCATTTTTAAAAATGGTTGTGTTTAACAATTGGCAGGCAAAATAACTGAAAATTTAACAGTCAGCCCTCACAAGCTGGGAAGAGCTGGCTCTGACCTACCGCTGTAATTATTCCACCTACCAAAGTCTATCCTGAAAGGGAGAGAGCACTTGAAGCTGTTCTCAGGCTACTGTGGTTTTCACTTTACTTTAAAGGAGGTTGGGCTAGAAGGTTTTAGCAGAGAGAGAGGGAAAGAAATGCAAGGGCTCACGAGTCAGGAACCAAGACTCAGAGTGAATGGAGAGCAGGGATAGGCAGGAAGGGAGTGTCTGCATGCATTTACAGGGTGGGAGAAGGCAGAAGAACCAAGATCAGGGAAAGGCCCTTTGTCCTTCTTGACTGTTGGTGAAGAGGAGAAAGGCAGACTCCTCTGCTTAGCACTTGTAACAAAGGCCAGGGCTGCTCTCAAGTCTTCTTAAGATTCCTTATGAAAATGGATTACTGAAACCAGTTCAAATACTAGTACTTTTTGGTACAGAAAACTATATTTACTATTATATTTGTTTAGCCATTTATGTAAATGTTATCAGAAGTAGGTGCAAATAAATTTAAAACAATTTAGGATATCTGTAACTTGACCCCTCCCTGGTTTTTATTTGCAATGGCAATATCACATAAAATTTAGTTTTCAAAATCAAACCAGCTACAGAAAGTCATTCACAAGATTGGATGGGGTCCTATTGTTTACCCTTAATCAAAGCTCAGAATTGCTGTTGACTGTTTTTTTCTTGACAACTAGAATAATTCAGTGTGTGTGTGTGTGTGTGTGCGTGTGTGTGTGTGTGTGTGTGTGTTTATATGCTTTCGCAGGGCTGACAGAATAAGCAAAATGCAGACCATTCCTGGAAGCCTGGATATTGCTGTTGACAACATTCCTTTGGAGCATCCAAGTATGATGATGATGTCCTAGTTTGCTTGTAGAGTTTTTAATAGTTAGTGTTATTTTGGTTAGTTGGTTAGTTGGTTGGTTACAAAGAATTGTTTGGTGAGGGTTTTTTCTCAAAGTTTGAGATAAATGGAATGTATTACCTTACAGAAAATTAAGGCTTCTTATTTCTTTATTAAGAAGATAAGTATAGCCCTAACCAGTTTGGCTCAGTGAATAGAGCATCGGCCTGCGGACTGAAGGGTCCCAGGTTCGATTCTGGTCAAGGGCACGTACCTTGGTTGTGGGCATATCCCCAGTGGGGAGTGTGCAGGAGGCAGCTGAATCGATGTTCCTTTCACATCGATGTTTCTAGCTCTCTATCCCTCTCCCTTCCTCTCTGTAAAAAAAATCAATAGAATATTTTTTTTAGAGAAGAAGATAAGTATAGTAGGACAGTAACTATATTCAGGGTAACTTAATACTTATCTGGTGTGCATCATGCACAGAGCAAGGTATTAAATTATATAATTTAATCCTCAAACCCCTAAAGGGTTGCAAATGCAGAAAGTCAGATTCAGATAGAATGGTAAACTAATAACCCATAATGGGAGAATCTATATTCATTCTATCTAGTGCCTCAGACTCAAAATACAGGGCTGGTTCTGCTGCCCTGCGCTGTCAGTTACTCTGAGCACCATGCAGAGCCCCCCGAGCGGTCACACGGTGATTAGAG